CCAGAATATGAACCAGCATACAATGAATAAAATTATGTAAAAATGATAAATCTGTTCGGCTAAAGATGTCAAACGCTATCCGTATTAATTACCCGAAAAAGAAAGGGTATATCAGGGTAGCGACTGACGTCTGACTAAATAGTAGAATGGGGCTGAATATTGAAATACTACTTTTTGATAAATATTCCTAAAGTAATGAACTAGAGAAGTTCTCGCTCGGACAAACACTCCATAATCTAGTATATTATAAGAGCATAAACCTGAAGCACGGGGAGGCACTCTACTGTCTCCACACGGCACTAAAGACAAACTCTGTAAAAAATAAAATTGAGAATGGAAATGGGGAATGTGTCAAAGAGACAACAACCCGACCATAGAACAGACAACAGCAGAAGGTCACCAACAGGTCTTCAATGCAGCGAGAAATTCCCGCACCCGGAGGCGTCCTTCAGCTGGCCCCTAAACAAATATATATACTAGTTCAGTGATAATGAACGCCATACTAAACTCCAAATTGTACACAAGAAACTAAAATTAAAAATAATACAAGACTAACAAAGGCTAGAGGCTCCTGACTTGGGACAGGCGCAAAAATGCGGCGGGGTTAAACATGTTTATGAGATCTCAACCCTCCCCCTATACCTCTAGCCAATGTAGAAAAGTAAACGCATAACAATACGCACATTAAAATTCAGTTCAAGAGAAGTCCGAGTCTGATGTCAGAAGATGTAACCAAAGAAAATAAACAAAATGACAATAATACATAAATAACAACAGACTACTAGCAGTTAACTGACATGCCAGCTCCAGACTTCAATTAAACTGATTGAAAGATTATGTCTTCATCATATGAATATCAGGCACAATCCTTCCCGTTAGGGGTTTAGTATCATACCATCATAACATATATGAGAAGAACATAACCCGTGTCATGCCAACAACTGGTTTTTAAATAAATGTGTTTAGTGCCGATGCAAAGACCCTATAAGTGAATCAATATTAACGCCAAAATATGCAATCTTTAATGACCTGACAACAGTATCGTAACTATATCCTTTCTTAATAAGTCTATTTATAGGTTTTGTTAGCTTCAGAGGTGAATACTGACATTTTTGTGCTTTATAAAGAATATTTCCATAAAAAAATGGATGTGAAATACCTGAACGTATAAGAAGTCTGCATGTTGAGCTATATTTACGAATGATATCCTTATACCGATGATAAAATTTAGTAAATGTTTTGACTAGTTTGTGATATCGAAAACCCTGGTGTAATAATTTTTCAGTAATACATAAATTTCTCTCGTTAAAATCTTAAACATTGTTACATACACGAGCGAATCGTACAAGTTGAGATATATAAACACCGTAAGATGGTGACAAGGGAACGTCACCATCTAAAAATGGATAATTTACGATAGGAAATGAAAAATCATCTCTTTTATCATATATTTTAGTATTAAGCTTTCCGTTAATGATATAGATATCAAGATCGAGGAAAGGGCAGTGGTCATTGTTAGTATTAGCTTTATTTAAAGTAAGTTCAACAGGATAAATTTCTTTAGTATACATACTGAAGTCGTCATTATTGAGAGCCAAAATATCATCCAAATATCTAAAAGTATTATTAAATTTGTGTATCAGATGTTGTTTCGATGGGTCTTTGCTGATTTTTTTTGGTCATAAATTGTAACTCATAGCAATACAAAAAAAGGTCCGCCATTAGTGGTGCACAGTTAGTCTCCATTGGAATTCCGATAACCTGACGATATACGGAATCTCCAAAGCGAACAAAAATGTTATCTAGTAAAAATTCAAGGGCATATATAGTATCAAAGCATGTCCAATTGACATAGTTTTTTTGTTTATTGCTACTAAAAAATGACCTAAAAGAGTTTGAACATATATATTCACATTCTGACTTTTTAAATGCCCATTTAATTAGGTGTGTGAATTTTTTCTTAATGAGAATGTGAGGCAATGTGGTATATAGGGTAGAAAAATCAAAATTTTGAACAGATTCAAAATCACCAATATATGCATGCAATTTATCAAGTACTTCCAACGAGTTCTTGACACTCCAAAAGTAATTAATTCCACTATTTTCGAAGGCCTTATTTGAGAATTTATTATCAGGTTTTTGATTGTACCAAGTGTACTGGTAAGAAGAATAGACAATTTAGTAGTGGAACAATGGCTTGAAGACGAAATGAATCTATATTTGTAAGGTGTTTTGTGTAGCTTCGGAAGCCAATACATAGTTGGGACTTTCATTGTATTTGGTTCTGCTTGTAAAGCGGTAGCGAAAAGTTTATGTTTGTTACAGATGTCGTTTTCTGAAAATGGAGTCAGTTGGAATGTTGGTGAATTGGTGATTTCTTTTTTCAGAACCTCAATGTAAAATTTACGTCAAGCAATAATAATATTATTAGCAGCTTTATCGGCCGGGACAAAAACAAATTCCTTGGCTAGTTCTTTTAGTTTATGTTTGATACGAGAAATAGGTTTATTGTGGTTATTGTTAAGAGTAAAATGTTCTTTAAAACGTTGAATACGTATATCAACTATGTTCATTACTGATTTAAAAAAAGAGTTTAAAGATTTTTTGTCAGCTTTTTCCCGTTTTATCCATTTCAAACAGTAAGTATGGAGTGAGTCGTGGATGATATTACGACACTCATTCCAATTAATAATTGACGGGGAACGATATTTAGGTCCTTTACTGAGGAATGATTTTAACTCTCGGTCTTGAACGATGTTAAGATCTCCTGTTATAACATGGGAAATGGGTCCATAAATGTATTCGGAATTACTGCAATTACATGAAGTAGGTGTATTTTCACTGATATTAACATCTTTACACAATTGGCTATAATTAAACACAAATTTCCGGGTAGATTTCTTGTAAATATAACAAATAATAGGGAGCTCAGTATTATCAAAATATCCCGGAATTTGTTCTTTAACAGAATGGTCGTTAAAAATACCGGCAATATTTACAAAATCAAAACCTTTATTGACATACTTTATTTTAATAAACTGTTTTTTATGATCATCAGGGCGATCAATTTTGGGAAACAGTTTAGAATAACAATACGCCATTATAATTTGAACGATTTCATACTTAGGACTGCTATATAAAATTGTGTTGCAATCCTCTAAAATTTTATTTAACTTATTAACCGGTAATGAACAGAGCTTTGTTAACAGATAATGTCTGCCGTTGTTTTTTGAAATAGAAATTAGGTCAGAAATATTGGTATGATTGGTCCGAAATTTTCTTTGATTGCGATTTTTTCTACGACCATGAGAACGGTTTTTACGAACAGTTTTAGAAACTATATCCAAAATGTTAACAGAATCGGTTCTTGATATATTACCAATTCCCATGATATTATCATTAAGACCGAGAGGGTAGACTGTCTGTAATTTTTTAATCCAATTTAATTCAATTGTTTTCCGCGATCGTACAAACTTTAATTTTTTAATCCAATTTAATTCTATAATATATGGTTTTTTAATCCAATTTAATTCTATAATATATGGTTTCTCTATAAATTTGCATGAATTAAGGAAGATAAGTGCCAACTTCCGGTTAAGAAAATGTCACGTCCGGTCTCAAATGATAGCTGTATTTACACTGATTCCAAAAATATATGGTTTATATATACTTTTTCATGTTAAAAGGGAGATGATTGGCTACTTCCGGTTTAGAAAATGTCACTTCCGGTCTCATATGATAGCTTTATTCACACTGATTACAAAAATATATAGTTTGTTTATACTTATGCCTGTACTAAGGGAGAAAATTTGCTACTTCCGGTTATAGAATGTCGATTCCGGTCTCAAATGATAGGTTTATGTATGCCCATTTAAAAAGTATTTTGAATCCAGGTACTTTTCCATAAAATAAGTGCATAATTACTACTTCCGGTTCACTCAAGGTCACTTCCGGTTCACATTTTTCAAGGTCACATGTCACCCAACATTTTGTTAAAGACCTTATGGCTTTATCATGTTCCAATCTAAAGTAATAATCAATTTACCTTAAGATAAAACATTGCAGGAACAATAACTCCTATCAGATGCCATTTGATTGTTTCAGACATTTTGAATTACTTCTTTCATATATTACTTTAAAGGTGTCAGAAAAAATGCAAAAACAAGCAAAAGTCAAAATTGAGAACATGACCTTGACCTTTGACTTTGACCTTATTTTCTAAGTTAGAACCCAAGGACCTCAAATAAAAAGACTTATACGGCTTACGGTTTATGGGTAACAAAATCATAACGACAATTTTATTTGGTAAAGGTAAATAACTCCTATAAGATTTTACCGATTCGCTTCGATCCAAATCAGCCAAAAATTCCTGAGGATGTAACGAACAAATAAGAAAAAGAATTTTATTGTTTTTTTTTGGTTCTAACAAGAAAAATAGTGTTTGGGGAGATAACTCTTACAATAAAAAAGTCTTCGGCTTAATAAGATGAGTTTTAAAAACGCAATAACTGTTCGATATAATATCCAAAATATCTAAGCGACATCTTGCGAAACAGCTTTATACCGCAAGAAAAGGGTTTGGCGGAAGAAGAAAAAAATGATAATAATTAGAACAAATACAATAGGTCTTTCCACAGAAAAGTGGAAAGACCTAATAATCACAACACAACCAATAGTCTTTCCACAGAAAAGTGGAAAGACCTAACAAATCTAGTATGTAGAATAAAGTGAGAAATTCACCCAAAAAAATCAGTCAGATCAGCAACAGAGGTCTTAATGCAAAAACAAATACCCATACAAAATATCTATGATGAGTTTGTTTCTGTACACCATAACTTAATTTGATATAAGCCTGAAAAGTGTACGATAACGCGAAAATTATAGAAAGAAAAAAAAAAGGAAAACACAAATATCAATAAATATTTCTGATAACAGATAACCTTACATTATAATGATGTAAAATAGAATCTTATATATATATATCCACAAAAAATACCTACGTTAGTGATGCCCATAACCCTTGTTTAAATTCTTGTATTAAATCAGCTTTTTCTTGCGAATTTATTGACAAGAGATGCGCCTCGTCTTTAGCACAGATCGTAGCAGCATCATTCCAAGAAACTTTCTTCTCATACAGAGTGTACTCGATCAAATCACTGTATAAATCTGTAATAAAGATGAATAATCAAATCACTGATCATTGGAGAAATAAAAAGGTGTACTTGATCAAATTATTGCAAACATGACATGAAACAACTGATCAGATGATAACACAAGGTCAGTACAAAATACAAAGTGTATTTGATAAAAGAAAAAATTAATATCCTGGAATAAAATAAATGATAGTAATCCGTTATATTTATTTTTATTATATGTTGTGTTATAACTTTATTTGATTATTATCCAGTCTGACGTTTGGCTAGATGTGACCAAAAGAGAAAAATATTCCCTCTAAATCGTAATATTTTGTACATGTACATGTATGAAGTACCCGTATTAACAGTATTAACTAGTACCTTAATTTCACACTATACTATTGAACCGTGGGAAACTATTATTACATTTGTAAAAAAAAGCATGATATTAACTACATTATGGTAAAGAATCAAAATCATCTATCGTATTTAATTTAGACCTTCGTCTACCTAAAATATCTTAAAGGATCTGAATATTTATAGAATATGAAATAACAAATAAAAAGAACATGCCATTTATCAAATACCGGTCATTAGATATAAGAAGATGTGGTATGAATGCCAATGAGACAACTCTCCATCCAAGTCACAATTAGTAAAAGTAAACCATTATAAGCCAAAATACGGCCTTCAACACGGAGCCTTGGCTCACACAGAACAACAAGCTATAAAGGGCCCTAAAAATGACTAGTGTAAAACCATTCAAACAGGAAAACCAACGGTCTAATCTATATAAAAAACGAGAAACGACAAACACTTATGAACCACATTAACAAACGACAACCACTGAACATCAGGTTCCTTATCATGTTTTAATTAAAATTAAATATACCGGAATAACTGCAGGCTAAAAACTTTTTTTTTCAAAGCCTATACCTTAATCTTACTTTTTTGCCCGGTCGTAGCTATTTCCTACGGTGCAGTTTTTCATAAAATGGAAAGAAAAAGGCATGTAGATGTTTTCATTCAAAATGCAACTGGGCAAACTATCTACTTTTATTTCTTTTTCATCGTCTTCAAACTTTTGATTTGGCATTTTAGGAAAGTTTAAGTGCTAGTTCATATGATAAAACTATCCTTCTATTTAGCCTTATTTTTTTTCGTTTTCACTCAGTTTTAAGAATATGCACCCTGTTTTTTTCCACTAGTGATTACAACATTTGTAAATTTACATTACATCGATATCTTCCAATTTTTTTGTGTTAAAAAGTAATAAAACTTCATTTAGTAAAGTTTCGAGACCACTCCAGCTAATAAATTCACGTTTTTCGACTTATTTTTGATAGACATTATAATGCAGTGAATTTCCGGACTGATTTCTTTTACTGATACGAAGTATATTTATTTTTTGATTGACGAACCGCTTTAGGACTGCATCATACCATTGTTTGTGTTTGTGTAAATTAAATATGTTAGGATTGATATTTTTGTATCATAGGTTTATTGAACAATGTTTTTTTTTAAAAGTTTTTGACTGATATATTTTGGTCTAAAAGGTATTTTATCGTGTTTTTTCTAAAGTTAAAAATAGAATTTTTTTTTTAACAGTAAATGTCAAATTGGAGCACATAAGTGTTATTCCCGGAATATGTAGTAGTCCACTAATGCTGACATCTTCGCAAGCTAACAGAAGCCGTGCTTCAAAAAACAGGGATTTTTCAAAAACTGTGTGTCTAACTGCAAAAGGAACCCTTTATAATGCTGTAAATGCAAGAAAAGAGGATGTATTTCACCAACTCCATGAAGCTAGTATAGTTCTCCTGATGATGTTCATATACATATAGGTATGATTGTCACAAATCTTGTAACAAATCATACACTAGCATGGTGATTTTACACAAAAGTTTACACAGCGTGACATTTTAGATGATCATACAGATAGATACTTTCCATGCTGATGATCAACCATGTTGTTCCTAGTCTGTTCTGACCAGATCAATGTCCTCGCCTTTTGACTTGACCGCTATAATTTTCTACAAGCACAGGTCGTAGAAACACGACACACATCTACGATATACTGAAACAGAAGAAGGACTCCAAAACATAATATAGATATCGGACAAAAAAGACATTTAAAAGTAGTATCACTCCTTTTTCACAAGAATTTAAAACAAAGGCCCTTTACTACAAGACTTGCATGGTGTTACGGACAGAAATCACCTTTAAATTGTAGCCAACAAAAGACACAAATCAATAATAAAATTTAACAAGATTTATTATACACAAGTTTACAAGAAGTATTACACAAATAGAAATGTCAACTTAACTATCAAATTATATGTCCGATCTTTTGTCTTTTCTTTATCCTGAATTCTTCTCTTCACTGTTGCGGGAATCCAAACAGAATATTATGTCCAATAAGTCACAAGTCACAATTTAGTATGATGTAGTTAACGTAAATAAAAGTGTCAATCCAACTGAGAGAACTTCTGAGAATACCAGTTTATTAATGTCTCTTCGGTAATTTCGGTATCTGTATATATAGTTGTCACGGAAACTTCTAGAACACTGTAGATATAAAACTTCTAGAACAATGTAGACGTTTAGATTACGCATCTTTTATTATGATCATTCTTAAATCGTTATGTAAGTAAAATAGAAAGTTCTTATCATTCCGTCAGTATCTATGATTGTTCCAGTGATTTCTAAACTTCACAGCTATAAATTATATACATGTAATTAGGCCACACAAAACAAATTAGGCCAACTAAATAAACATGATAGTTACAATATCATAACACCTCCCCCTTAAAAAAAGTTTGAGTGTAACAAGAACTTTTCATGAACAATATATACAAAAATACATAGTATGTATACAGTGTTTTAATAATATCCTAATAAATCATCTGCTATTACATTATCTTTATCTTTAATATGTTTTACAATAGCATCATATTCCTGTAACAATAAACTCCACCTAGTCAACCTCTGGTTCTTGTTTCTCATTTTATGTATGAAGGTGAGAGGATTATGATCAATATAAACAAGAATAGGATGCAAAGTGGGATTTAAATAAACATCAAATTGTCGAAGTGCAGACAGCAGTGCAAAACACTCTTTTTCAATAGTTGAATAATATTTCTAATTTCTTGGAAAAATATGAATTACGTTTCTCAACATTATCATCTTTTTCTTGATATAAAACACCTCCAACTCCTACATCACTTGCGTCAACAGCATGTTTGAATTGTTTTTCAAAGTCTGGAGTGATCAGAACTGGACTATTAATTAAAAGTGATTTGCTTTTTTCAAAAGCATTTTGACAATTATCACTCCAGATGAATTTAGAATCTTTCCGTAAAAGATGAGTCAATGGTTAAACAACAGTAGCAAAATTTGAACATAATTTCCTGTAAAATCCAATCATGCCTAGATATCTCATAAGTAGTTTTTTTATTTGTAGGAGGAGGAAATTTGGTAATTGCATCCACTTTAGCCATAATAGGTTTCACTTGACCTTGGCCAACTGTATGCTCTAAAAAATCAACAGTGGCCTGATAAAATTCACCTTCACCAAGATTAACAGTCAAATTTGGTTGTGACAATCTATCAAAAGTATCATATAAATGTGTTAAATGCTCTTCCCAGCTATCACTACATACAATAAGATCACCAATATAAGCATGACAACAGTCTAAATCTTTTATAACATTAATGATCATTCTTTGAAATGTAGCTGGAGCATTATAATGAAATAAACCGTCTGGTGTGACAAAAGCTGATATTTCACGAGCTCTCTGTGTCAAAGGTACCTACAAGTAACCCTTCAATAAATCAATTTGCTCACAAATTTTGCTTGTCCAATGTTATCAATACATTCGTCCATCCTTGGAATCAGAGAGGAATCAGATTTTGAAACTGAATTCACTTTTCTGAAATCAGTCACGAAACGAATGGTTTTATCTGGTTTGGGCACAAGGAGAGCTCCATCCACTGTTACTCGGCTCAATAATATCATTGTCAAGCATATATCTTTTGTCTAATCAATTCAAGTTTTAGTGGATTGAGCCGGTTATGATGCTGCTTAATTGGAGAAGCATCACCTACATCAACATCATGATAAACAGCAGTGGTTTTGTTTGGCACATGTGGAAAAACGTTTTTTTTAAAGAAAATACCAAAGTTTTCAATTTTTCTCTGCGATCGAAATTCAGATGTGCAAGTTTTGAGTCTAAATTTAGCAAAATTTCTGAATTTTTCAATCTTACTGTTTGTTCCATAGTTTTAGAATTAAAAGGTGTTCCATTATATATGGTTTGTTATGATTGTTCTTTTATTCAACCATGGCAAAACTGGCAACTGTTTTATTCTCACCTTCATTAGTACGCTCAAAATATGGTTTTAACATATTAATATGACACTCTCTATTTTGTTTGCGCCGACCTGGTGTTTTTACAATATAATTCAAATCATTGATTTTACTCTCTATTGTATAAGGACCACAATATTTAGCCTGTAAAGGATGTCCAGGGACTGGCAAAAATACAAGCACCTTATACAGATACATAGATAAATAAAATCGTATAATAAAAAAGCAAAATGAGGATGTTAAATTAGATGTATGCCTTTTTGTGCTTCTTTGTTACATTTGTTTGTTTTTATGGTGATTAAGATGATAACACAATGTTGACTGATGTACCCCTGTTTTTGACATTTTTTCCTATTGTGTTTGTTTGATTTGTTCACGCATCGTTGTCAATATATTGGAGTTTGATGCAACTGTCATACAAGTGAGAGGTTTAGCTAGATATAAAACCAGGTTCAATCCACCATTTTCTACATAAGAAAATGCCTGTACTAAGTCTGGAATATGACAGTTGTGATCCATTCGTTTGATGTGTTTGTGCTTTTGATTTTGTCATTTGATAAAGGGACTTCCCTTTTTGAAAATTACTCGGAGTTCAGTATTTTTGTGATTTTACTTATCACCAGGTTCAAAAACTCTATCCCTGACATCTTTATCATACCATA